CCTCTCCACAGATGGTGGGAAGGCTGCCTAAAGTTGCTTTGAGACACTGGCTTCCTCTAACAGTCCTTGTCACAACTACTAATTCTCAAAAAGGGCTATTCTTTTCCTCTCAATGCACTTTTCTCCTTTTTTCTTTCTCTTTTTTCCCCATTTGCTTTCTCTGCCTTCTCCCCTCCCAGGAAAGGATTTAACATCACCTATATCAAGGTATTTTGGAATCACAAGGCAAAATAATGCTTTCTATCTGCTACTGCCACATCTGATAACAAACTGCAGAAATACACACTGCTGTCTGCTCCTTTAAACAATAACATTTTAAGGATTATAACTATTATTTGCTTGCCATTATAAGTGGCTGGCAAGAAAAGCATAGTGACACTGTGGACTATAGTCTGATCGTGTACAGTTGTGCATTTTAACTGCGCTACTTTGTCATTGGCATTGTGCTCATAGTTAGAGGTAAGTAGCTGTGATTAACACAAGTGCTCAATGTGGAGGACATTTGAAAATTTCACTTGCGTTAATGATATGTAGCATATACAGAGATGATTTCAAAATGAGAGTAGGAGTGAAAGATAACAAGAAATTGTGAAAGTGACCTTGACATGATGGGAATATAAGAACTGCGGTACTTTTTCTCTAAGGTGGGTGAAGAACGTGTGACAGTGAATGCATGAGTTTATGCATGGAAGTGATTAAGTATATGTGCCAGTGTCTGCCATGAACACTGTGGAAGATCAGAACAGAATGGGCTGTTGATAACACTTTTTTTCTGTTTATCTCTGCTCTTGCTTGTACTAGTCTCCATATTTCAGTTCAAGAATGCTCGTTCTCTGGCTTTCTTTGTCTTTCCAGTAGTTTTAGCATTCTTTCTGTCTGCCTTTTTCACCTGTCTTCCTCTTTGTCTTGTTTTGTTTTAGTCTGTTAAATCTCTCTCATTTTTCTTCTGTGTCCTCCCTATCTGTTTCAATGTCTTCACTCATTAGCCATTTAGGCTATGAGCCAACGAACGTACGTGAGACATACTTTCAGGATAAGAAAAAAATTCATAAAGCCAAGTACTAGAAGAGGACAGTAAAAGTAATCAACCTCTCCTCATAACCACTTGAAGAAAAGCAGACCAGTGCCAAACTTTCTAGGACGTTATCTCCCTTACTATCTAGTTGCCTCTTCTGAAGTACAGTTCCCACATTCTCACAGAGGAACCTCAGGGATCTTTGTAGAGTAAGCACCGACAATCATGATTAAGGCTCAGTTGAAAGCAAACACTAGGGCTTAGGGGCAAAATCTATGCAGGATATAAGTTCCT